TAAGAATACACTTGTATGTGATACACAGATGTACAGGCAACAAGCACACACAATAAAAAATAATATTTAAAAAAGAAGTTCATAATGGATAATTGCATTTTTATAAGAATCTAAAAACTAGGACTAGGAATGTAGCTCATCAGTAGAATGCTTGCCTAGCATGCATAAAACCAATCCCCAGCACTCTATAAAGCTGGGTATAGTGATACACATCTGTAATCCCAGTATTCAGGAAGTAGAGGCAGGAATATCAGAAGCATAAAATGATCCTTGGCTACATAGCAAGTTCGAGGCCAGCCTGTGCTATACAAAACCATCTTTAATTTTTTTTTTTTTTTTTAATGAAACACTGGTAAGGTAATTGTGGTTTGAATGAGAAATTTATATCCTAGCTTCACTTAAAATTAGCTTTCTCTGCTTTCTCCTTGCTGTTGAAGATGTGACCATTCCTGCTCTGGCTATCTTCTGTCATGCTTCCCCTGCCATTCTGGATTCTCCTTCAGGATCTGTAAGCCAGAAAATAAAATAATACTAATTTTTTAAAAAAAACACAACTTTCTTCTGTAAATTGTTTTTGGTTACTGTATTTTGTCATAGCAATAGAAAAGTAATTAGTTAGATAATGTTGGCTAACCTATACTTAAGTCTTCTCTTACATTCACTTAATAGAATTTATAGCACATCTAAATTGTGTCAAAAGGTAGGAGAGGTTTGGCTTCATGAGGGTTGGTGGGGGAGAAATGCAACGGCTGTATTGAATGATATATTCAGGGGAGGCTGAGGAAATATCAGGACTTATATGCGCTGGGAATGGCTGAGTTCTCAAGGATGAGAAGTGACTTGGGGTGGATAGATTTTGTTTGTTTTTAATGGTGGTGGGAATGGAACCCAGGTTCTTACTCATGTTAGGGGTGTTTCAGATAGGGTCTTGGTACATAGTCCTGACTGGCATGATAATCACTATGTAGCTCAGGCTAACCTCAAAATCCAGCATCCCTTCTACCTCTTACATGTGTGTATCTTCCCCTACCTCTCCCTCTTACATGTGTACACCCTCTCCCTCACTTCTACTTCTTACATGTGTATACCCTCTCCCCCACCCCCAGGTACCAATGTTAGGAGGTAGTTTCCTGAGTTCAGCCATCTCAGGAAGAAGTTCCCCCTTGATGACAGGATCAAAATTAAGTTTCTGTTTCTAGGCCCGGGTCCCACCTCCTGTTCTGCTTCTTCAGATGTTTCATGTTTGTCTGTTAACCAGTAAAGAATGTAAAGTAGGGAAAATACTGTTATTCCGATCTCTAAACTGAGGCACACAAGTCACAAATGTGCTGCCTGTCTTGACTTAATTGACTATGTGCTGCTTGCCCACTCCTTTGTTCCTTTGTCACCCTAAATTCCAGGTCAGAGTCCAGGAGGTGACCTGGCTGCAAAGGCTGACTCAAGGACACTGAAACCAGGTGACCTGGATAAGGCCTGGTCACCAGTGTTAACCACCTTGTTTAATCCCTTGGGTCAAAATATGATCAATGCAACAGTCCTCCCATTATCAGGAAGGAGCATACCATTCATCTGAGGCAAAGGATGATACATTTGGGACTGTTACTTGGTATAATGGCTCATCCAGCAGGGCATTAAACAAGGGTCTGGGGAGATCACCTGAAAGAGAGAATGGGGAAACAGGCAGACACAAAGAACCACTGCTTGTCTATAGGGTAATCAAACCACCATTTTTACTTTTTCACACAGGGGTTATATACACAAAAAGGCAGGATGTGGGGAAGGGAATGACACTGGAGTGTAGGTGTTCAGGGGGAGTACAGATATCTTTCAGAACAGGGTATCGGCTGGGTGAAGGTTCAGGGGACAGGTCACTATGACTCCGACTATGATTCACTTGTCCTTATCTAAGTTGGTACTATCCACCAAGGCTATCCAACGTCTATGACTATCCACAAGACCTATGACTACTTGTTCTTATCCAGGCTGGTAAATTTCCACCAAAGCTGCCTGTTTACAATATTTTATAGTGATCTGTTTCAGTGTTTTTCCTCAGAGACTCAAGACTTTGTGTTAGCAGGCTGACTTAGGCCTATTGCTGATTTTAGGGCTTCAGTGTATAAGCAAGGCTGCCCCTGACAGTATAATGGTGTTGTTCTCCTTGGAGGCCCCTAGAGATTCTAGTTATGAACAGCTGGAGAAACATTAAAAGGAAAGCACAGGGCCCTGGACTAAAGGTTTAGCTGTGGTAGAACTACATACCTAGCATGAAAGAACAGGACAAGAGGGTAAGTTATAAGTACAGATCTATCTATGTATGTATCTATGTCTGTCATCTATCTATCTATCTATCTATCTATCTATCTATCTATCTGTGGGGAAAATTTAAAAAAGGCCGCCACAGCAGCGCAAGCTTGCGCCGCGGTGGCGGGTCCCACATCAGGGAAGAGGATCCTATGGTTCCAGCGGCCTGAGGGCCGCAGCGGCAGGCCCCAATAACACGAGGAAGTCCTTGGTTCCAAAAAGGTTTATTGTCATGACAGATAATAGATGGATCTAGGCGTACCCCCCCCAAACTCATGGCAGTCCCGAGTTATATAGGGAGGGAGAAGGGGGAGGATTAGGGGAGGATCTGGGGAAGGAATGTTTAATTTGCTCTGCCCTCTGGCCTTCATTAGTATGTAAATCTCTAGGGCCTGAGGCCTAAAGCCTGACCTATGTGACTCTATGGAAATGTGGCTGTTTTCAGGATCCTAGATGATGGGAGGTACCGAACTCCTGCCGGTTCTCACGCAGAATTCCACGGAGAATCTCGGGGTTCTAAGTACCTGCTCAACCATGACCCAGGATACCCTTATACAGTCCCACATCTATCTATATCTATCTATCTATCTATCTATCTATCTATCTATCTATCTATCTAAGGCAAGATTTCTTTGTCTAGCTTTGGCTGTCCTAGAACTGGCACTATAGACCAGGCTGACTTTAAACTCACAGAGATCTACCTGCCTCTGCCTCCCAAGGGATTAAAGGCATATGCCACCACCGCCAGCCTCAGATTTTTTTAAAATTCCTCCCAGCCCTGCCAACCCCCTTTTTTTGAGATAGGATCTCACTAGGCCTGGAACTTGCTATGTAGATCAAGACAAGGTTGGCCCTTGTCTTACAGAGCTTCACCTACCTATACTGGCTAAATTCTGGGATTAGAGGCACATATCACTATATCTGGAACTTTAAAATTTTCATTTTTAATTATGTGTGTCTGTGTATGTCTTTGTACATGACTGCAGGTACCCAAGAGATATTGGATCTCCTGGAGCTGTAATCACAGGAAGTTGTGAATCACCTTGTATGGGTCTGAGAAGAGAACTCAGATCCTAGGCAAGCACTACTCATGTTCAACCACTGAGTATTTCTCTGGTCCCTAAATACAGATTTTTTTTTTTTTTTCGAGACAGGGTTTCTCTGTGTAGCCCTGGCTGTCCTGGAACTCACTCTGTAGACCAGGCTAGCCTCGAACTCAGAAATCTGCCTGCCTCTGCCTCCCAAGTGCTGGGATTGAAGGCGTGCGCCACCAACACCCGGCCTAAATACAGATTTCTTTTCTTTCTTTCTTTTTTTTTTTTTTTAAAGATTTATTTATTTATTATATATGAATACACTGTAGCTGTCTTCAGACACACCAGAAGAGGGCATCAGATCTCATTACAGATGGTTGTTAGCCACCATGTGGTTGCTGGGATTTGAACTCAGGACCTCTGGAAGTGCAGTCAGTGCTCTTAACCACTGAGCCATCTCTCCAGCCCCTTTTTTTTTTTTTTTTAAGATTTATTTATTTTTTAATTTATGACTACATTGCAGCTGACTTCAGATACACCAGAAGAGTGCGCTGGATCCCATTACAGATGGTTGTAAGCCACATGCGGTTGCTGGGAATTGAACTCAGGACCTCTGGAAGAACAGTTAGTGCTCTTAACCACTGAGCCATCTCCCCAACCCTAAATACAGATTTCTAAAGTTTTTGTTACATGTATTTATTCTGTTGTGTGTGTCCTGGGGGTGATAGTCAGAAGACACTTGTTCTTCCCATACTATCTGGGTCCTGATAAACTCAGGTTGTCAAGCTTGGCGGTGGGCCTCTACTCACTGAGCCATCTAGATAGGGTCCAGCTTTTCTTTCCCTCCCCTCCTCTTCCTTCTTCTTCCCTTCCCCCTTTTCCTTTTCTTATTTTTTTTTTTCTCTTGAAACTGTGTCACATGTCTCCCAGGCTGTCTTCTAACTTGACGAGTATGACCTTGAACCTCTTCCATCCTCTATTAGAGATCGATCTCAGGGTCTCATGCTATATAAACATTCATAACAACTGAGCTACATCCCCAGGCCCCAATTCAGATTTTGACCAAGCATCTGAAGAGCGTTATTCAATTTGTAAATTTAGATACAGCAACATAGTTTGCCATTTTCTTAGTCTGGGATATTTTTTTCTTTCTTGTACATCATAGCAGATGTTCGGTAATGAAGGTGAGAGATGGGTTAATTTTGAAGTCTTGAGTTGAGGGTCCAGTGGAAAATTTAAAGTCATTAGAAAGGTAGATATAAGAGATCCTGAACCTACAGGCTGAAAATAGCCTTACATTGTGACTTTATATTTATGACCACACCGCAACTTAATGTCATAAAACTTTACTCGCCACTCTAGATTCGTACTCAGTGTGCTTGGCATACAGTGCTAGCAGCGTAAGCCTGGCAAAAGGTTTTAGAAATCAGAATTAGCAGACATGGCTCACACTAGCTGTGAAATTGAGGTTCAGGTCTCTAGGGTCTGACCTGAAGAGTCTCAAGGTTACAGAGGGCTCCGCGTTCCCAGTTGCCTTGGGAACCGAGGGAGGTCCAAAACAAAACACAGCTCGAAAGAGGGCGGAGCCGGTGCGTAGCCCTCCGGTCCGGGCGGCCGCGCGTTCCGCGTTTCATTGGTTCTAAGTTCCGCCGCTTTCAGGTTCCCACTGCCCTGTGTATTTCCAGCCGCGGGTTCAGGCTTTCTCTCCTGAGAAAAGAGACCTACCGTACTTGTTTTTTTTTCCCCCTGCACGCGAAGGGCGAGTTCCACGTGCTGATCGAATAAAGTCAGGTAAGGCCATAAGGACCGCATTATCCTTTTAAGTAGACTCCTGTTCTTTGTTTTGGAGGAAAGTAATGTAGTCACATCATTGTTTGGAATTTAACCTTTTTGTTTGCTTGGGACAAAGTCTCATGTTGTAGTCTCTGGCCTGCAATGTAGCCCAGACTGTCTCGAACTTGAGGCAGTCCTGCCTTACTTAGCTTCCCAAGTGATGAGATTATAAAAATGCTCTGCCCTGCACTGTTGGTTTGTTTACCTGTGTGTGCACCTGTGCCTGTGGAGAAGCTAAGACACTGGAAATTGTGGTCCTGTAGAGGAAAAGCAACTCTCTTAGTACCCGAGCCTTCTCTCTTGGTGGTGGTTTGTTTGTTTGGTTTATTCATTCATTCATTCATTCATTCATTCATTCATTCATTCTGTCAGTCAGTCTGTCTTTTATAACAGGGAGGCAGACCTACTGAGGGACTAAGAGTCAGACAGATTCCCTGGCAAGCAGGCAGATAGGATGGGTAAGCAAGCAGAGGGGCCATGGATGGATAATAAAGGTGGAAAACTTTAAAGATGTCTAGCTTTTCCTCACCCTCCTGACCTGAGACAAAAGCCTGACAATTTAAAACAAAAGCCTTGTGAGCTTTTTCTCCTTCCCATGCTGATGGCCTGGCTCAACAAGTTCAAAGCCAGATCAGGACAGTTTTTCAGCCATTGTCTCTTTCTTCAAAGTGACCAACCCCCTAAATTAGGGGAGGAAAACCCTTCAGAGACTTCAAAACCAAAGCACCTTATCCCCCACCCCCTAATCCTCAAGAAGAGTCTGGACTTTCAGCTCCCCTCTGCTTTGTGGAGGAGGGTCTTTTTCTCTGTGTTTGCTGCATGTGTGTGTTTACTTGCCCCAATAAAAGCCTTTCTCCAACATCTGATTCTGTTTGCTTTTGTTTTCAGGTTTTAAGATTTCTCCACTGCTACCTGTTGAGCGCTGAAGTTTTCTAACTCTTTAACTGGCAGAGAAAACTGAACCCAATCAGGAGCCCTTAGACAGTAATGCCAGTTCAGTCAGGTACTACTGAGTACACAGACAGGGCTGGCTTGAATTCAGCCCTTCTTATCACTGCTTCTTTCTTTCATGGAGATCTGCCTGCCTTTGCCTCCCAAGTGCTGAGATTAAAGGCAAGGTGTTCACTACTGTGCCCATCCTGATGTCTTTCCCATAACATAATTTGAGTACCTACCTAGATTGGCTTTAAAAACTTCTTCAAAACCAAACTTTCAGTGCTGGGAAGTCATGGTATCCAAATACACAGTAATCCCATATTGTGCTGCTGTAAACCTTAAAGCTCAACTGGTAGAGTGTTTGCCTTGAAGGCATGAAGCCCTGGGTCTGACCCAAGCAACAATAAACCTGGAGGGAGGAGGATCATTACAAATTTGATGTCTGTTTGGTCTACACAGTGAATTGTTTGGTCTACACAGTGAATTCTAGTGCAGCCTGGGCTATAGTACAAGTCTATATTTTATTTGATTATGCTTTGTTTGCATGTGTATAAATGCACTGTGTGTGTGTGTGTGTGTGTGTGTGTGTATGTATGTGTGTGTGTATGTGTGTGTGTCTGTCTCTGTGTGTCTGGTGCCTGACAAAAGCCAGAAGAGGGTACCAGATCCCTTAGAACTGAAGTTATGATTGTGAACTGCCATGTGGATGCTAGGAACTGAACTTTGGGTCCTCTGCAAGAGCATCAGGTGCTCTTTAACTGCTGAGCTATTTCTTTATGTGCAAGTCTATCCTAAAATCAAAACAAACAAAAAGATAAATATTATTTCATTTTCATGAACAGTGTTATAAAAATAAAATGCCTGTATATTTGTCATTATGAATTACTGAAATGATTTCACAGTTAAAAAAAAAAGCAACTAGATTTCTTTGCCCAAACTGGTAAGCCAAAGCTGTCCCTCTGACATGAATTTGTACTTGTGGGTTGTTAGTGCTTATTTTCTTGTTATGTGGAATGATATGGACATATTGGCTAGACTAAGAATTTTCAGTATTGTTTCTTTTTTGTAGAGATCCGGAAATTCCAGTATCAATTAAGTGGAAAGACAGACTCTCCTTCTATCTGCCCGGGAAACAGTCTTTATTAATAGCAACACTGACAGAACCTGAGGTTTGGAGATGTACTAATGGCTTTCAGTCGGTGTTGGAAAGCTCCCAGGAGCCAATGGAGTTTCCTGCAGGCTGTGAACAGTGGGTTTCCCCTGTTTCTCAGGAGGACAGTGGCGAGTTGTTTGGATCCTAAGATGAAAGCCTTCCTGGAGGAGAACACTGAAGTCACCAGCAGTGGCAGCCTTACCCCTGAAATCCAGTTACGGCTTTTAACCCCCAGGTGCAAGTTTTGGTGGGAAAGGGCTGACCTGTGGCCCTACAGTGATCCCTACTGGGCTATCTACTGGCCAGGAGGCCAGGCTCTGTCTAGGTATGTTTCATTGAAATATTGAAGATCTTTCTTCCTTTAAGCAATCACTCCACCTCCATTTCATTCTCTCTGGCCCCATATCATAGCAGCAGACCCAGAAAGTCACTGAGGCCCATGCAAATCTCAACTTGTATATGATTTGGCTTGCCATCCTTCTGGTGAAGTAGAAGAGAATTTGTCCTGTGGGAAGACAAAGTCATCTTCAAAAGGATGTCTTATAGTTACCCAAGATAGTGTCACCTTGTAATCTTAGCACTTAAAGGCTAAGGCATGAGGGTAGGAGTTTGAAGCTATCCTGTGATATGAAGCAATGCTTTCTTAAACCATTAATAGTCTCTTGTACTCACATACTTAACTTTGGCACTGCCACAGAGAAGAGGACAGGTGTTGGGGCCTCTGAAGTCTGGCTTTTCAGCTGAGACTAAGTGAGAAGACAATTGTCAACAAAGCATTCAGAGAGGGCTGCACTACATCCAGAACTGGTCACTGTTAATTTAGCTTGGCTTCATGACAGTCACAGATGTGGATACCTTAGTAACAAAATAGTTCTCATCATACCTGCCCTGGGTAACGTTTGTTGTCAACTCCAATGAATCTGGAGTTACCCACAAGACACACCTTTTGGCATGTCTATGAGAGAATGCTTTTCTATTGCTGTAATAAATAAACATAACCAAAAACAACTTGGGGAAGAAAGTTTATTTCATTTTACACTTCTAGGTCACAGGAATCCATCATCAGGAAAGTCAGGGCAGGAACTCTAGGCAGGAATGGAATGTGGAGGCAAAAACTAAAGCATAGTCCATGGAGGAGCCCTGCTTACTGGCTTGCTTCTTAAAGCTTGCTCAGTCTGCTTGCTTTCCTTCTTTCTTTCTTTCTTTCTTTCTTTCTTTCTTTCTTTCTTTCTTTCTTTCTTTCTTTCTCTCTTTTTGTTTTGTTTTGTTTTTGTTTTTCGAGAAGGGGTTTCTCTGTGTAGTCCTGGCTGTCCTGGGACTCACTCTGTAGACCAGGCTGGCCTTGAATTTAGAAATCAGCCTTTCTCTGCCTTGCAAGTGCTGGGATTAAAGGCGTGTGCCACCACCACCCGGCTTCAATCTGCTTTCTTAACACTATACAAGATTACCTGTCCAGGCATTGTTCTGAATAGGCTGGGCTCTCCCACATCAATCATTAAACAAAAAAAATCCCTTAGGCTTGCTCACAGGCTACTCTGGTAGAGTTATATTCTCAACTGAGGGTACCTTTTCCCAGTTGCCTATAGCTAGTGTAAAGTTGACAAAAAAACTAACCTGGATAGGATATTTCCAGAGGTTTTTTTTTTTTTTTTTTTTTTTTTTTTTAAGATTTATGTAAGCCGGGCGGTGGTGGCCCACGCCTTTATTTAATCCCAGCACTTGGGAGGCAGAGACAGGTGGATTTCTGAGTTCGAGGCCAGCCTGGTCTACAGAGTGGAGAAACCCTGTATTGAACCCCCCTCCCCCCCCAAACAAAAAAAAAAGATTTATGTATATAGCATTCTACCTGCATGTATGTCTGCAGGCCAGAAGATCTCATGTGGTTGCTGGGAATTGAACTGAGGACCTTTGGAAAAACAGACAGTGCTCTTAACCTCTGAGCTATCTTTCTAGCCACCTTCCAAAGAGATTTAACTGAGGAAGGAAAGGCCACCTTGAAGTAGATTATACTTCCTATAGGATTGGGTTGTGTTCTGTATACAAAGAGAAGAAGAAAGAAAGCTAGCTGAATCCTAGAATTCCTTCCTTTTCTCCATAGTTTATCCTGATAAGAGCATCAGTCTCATACTCCTACTGTCCAGGACCTTACTGCCATACCTTCCTATAATGATAGATTGTATCGTCAAACTGTGATCCTTCAAAATAAACTCTTATTCCCTTAAAAGTTTCTTGTCAGGTATTTGGTTACAGCAGTGAGACCCACCCTCAGGGTCTCACTATGTAGCCCAGGCTGGCCTGGAACTCATAGAGTTCTACCTGCCTCTGCTTCCTGTATGCGACCACTGCCCAGCTTCCAACTTCTTTTTTTTTTTTTTTAAGACTTATGATTTTTGGCTGGGCGGTGGTGGCACACGTCTTTAATCCCAGCACTTGGGAGGCAGAGGCAGGTGGATTTCTGAGTTCGAGGCCAGCCTGGTCTACAGAGTGAGTTCTAGGATAGCCAGGGCTATACAGAGAAACCCTGTCTCGAAAAACCAAAAAAAAAAAAAAAAGACTTATGTATTTTTTGTATGAGTGTTTTGTCTGAATGTTATGTGTGCATGGTGCCCGTGAAGGTCAAGAAGAAGGCATCAAATCCCCTGAAACTTGAACCTGAATCCTCTGGAAGAGTACCAAGTACTCTTAACCACTGAACCAACTCTCTGCCACTGAGCTAACTCTCCAACCTTCATACTAACTTTTCTAACACATACCTCAACCCAAAATCTAGTTTTTATAGTAGTTTGGTCATCGCTTTGCTGCTTTGTTGCATAGTTTTACTGCCTTACATAAACTTAAGGCATATCCACAAATAAAGCTTCCACCCCTCAAGATACTCTAGTGTCAGCTCTTAAAGAACCTACATGGTCATAAAAGATCTATATGTCTTACTTTGTGCTCAGATTCATGTGCATATCAACAATTAGTACAGAGTTTCTTGATGGATCCTAAAGACCCATCCCTTCAAAGATCCTGCTTTAACACTATATATGCTACCTGCTCCTAGAATTGGCTCTTCAGCACATAGAAGGTATGAATGACCACTTGGGATTTTCTATTTGGCAGCTCATTTTAGGTGGGCCCTGCATTTGATTCAATTTAGCATTTTTAAGCTCCCTCCTGTCCATCTTGGTTTTTCATATAGCTGCAACTATACTTTTTGTTAAGAAACAGCTGAAACAAAGGCAAACATGTTTAGCATGTTCATCTACTCTTTGCTTTCGAATTGATCTTGATTTCATCTGGTTATGTCTTAAGGATGTAGGGCTGACAGACAAAAGGTCTTCTGTTTCCCAGGAGTAGTATTGCTACTGCTACAGGCCAGGCAGGTTCTCTACCATCAGAAAAAAAAAATTACATTTAATTGCTTTGTGTTTGGTAGCACAGGTATCCCATGGTGTGCATGTAAAGGTCAGAGGACAACTCGCATGAATTGTTTTTTTCTATACTATGTTGACCTCAGGTCATAAGACTTCAAAGCAAGCACCTTTATCTGCTAAACCATCTTGTCTGTTTTTGTTTTCATGCTTCTTACTCTCATTTTCCATTCCTCAGGTGTTTTCTCCTTTCTTTCTAATTTTAGGTATCTTTTGGATAACCCTGATGTCGTTAGAGGAAAGTCTGTCTTAGACCTTGGAAGTGGATGTGGAGCTACAGCCATTGCTGCTAAGATGAGTGGAGCATCAAAGATCTTGGCCAATGACATAGACCCCAGTAAGGACCACATATTTTAAAACATTTAAAACTCATCTCCCCAACCCCTCTTTTCGTCATGATAGTTTATTGCCTTGTTTTGTAATCTGATACTGTGAGGTATGTTCAGTGGGACCTGAACTGGCGATGCATTTCCCCAAGAGGATTTGATTTGTTTGCCAGACATTCCACAGGGATACCTGTGAGGGCACATGTGTTAGCTCAGGGTTGAGAATGCCCTGAAATATGTAAGTAACTTTTTCTTGTTTTTTTGTTTTTGTTTTTGTTTGTTTTTTTTTGGTTTTGTTTTGTTTGTTTGTTTGTTTTTTCAAGACAAGGTTTCTCTGTATAGCCCTGGCTGTCCTGGAACTCATTTGGTAGACCAGGCTGTCCTGGAAATTCACCTGCCAAGGCCTCCCAAGTGCTGGGATTAAATACAGGCGTGTGCCACCACTGCCCGGCCAAGTAATTTTTATTTGATACAAAATCCAAGTAAAGATAGGCTTGTGTCTTTAGTGGACATTTTTACTTCATTAAGATCCAAGCTGTGTTGGGTATGGCAGCCACACCTTAAATTCCAGCACTTAGGAAGTAGTTGCAGTTCCAGGTTAGCTAGGGCTACAAAATGAGACCCTGTTTCAAACAAACAAAACAAAAAAACAAGAAAGAAAAAGGCTCAAGTTGAGATAGTTAAGCTTTTATTTCATATGAAACAAAACAAAAAATCAACCAAGCAAAACAAAAAAACAAGAAAGAAAAAGGCCCAAGTTGAGATAGTTAAGCTTTTATTTCATAGGATTTTTTTCTGAACCCTCATTTAGAGTAGAGCCCTTCAGGGATTTTAGTTTGTTAAGAGGTTTCAGATATAACTTGATCAAGCCCAACATTGTTTTTCTGTCTATATAAATAAACATACAAAAAAATAACCCACCACTGCTCGTCTGCTTTTAATATATAGCCGTTTTAAAACATTCCTTTTTTTGTTTATAGCCCACATGAGAAAGTGATAGACCACCATGAATATAAAACCACATAAGAGCTCTTTGTTTAAGCTACAGAACTGAGAGCAGGCTGTCATCACAAAGAACTCTGGGACACCCTATATTAAGTACTACAGAATTTATACAAACAAAAGACTACAAATCACATTAGTGCAAGCTAGGAGCGTTTTTACTTTTAACAAGGGATCATTTCCCAGCAAGGAAGGAGAAACATTTTAGAAGTCTCATTTCTCAGGAGAAACTGTTCTGTCAAGCAGGATATAATTATGGGTGTGGGTGTGGGTATGGGGTCAGGATAACCTGATCTCTCCTAGACATTTCACTTTTCTTTCCTTCTTTCCCTCTCTTTCTCTCTCTTTCTTTTGAGACAGTTTCATATACTCCAGGATGGCCTCAGTTAGCTCTTTAGCTAATGATAACCTTGAATTTATGATCTTCCTATTCCCACCTTTGGGGTTATAGGCATACACCACCATGCCCAGCCTCTTTGTTTTGTTTTTTGTTTGTTTGAGAAAAGGTCTTAGGCTGAAGACCCAGCTGGCTTGGTACCTCCCTTTGTATCCCAGGTTGGCTCATACTTTCAGGGATCTTTCTGCTGTATATTACCAAGCCTTGTAGTGACAGGTGTTCACCATCATGCTTAGCCAGGATATACTTTATATTGGCATAAATTTTAAACTTCTTTGCCTAAAAAAATAACAACAGGAGCTGGAGAGATGGCTTAGTGGTTAAGAGCACTGCTTGTCCATAGGACCCAGGTTCAGTTCTCAGCTTTCACATGGCAGCTCACAACTCTCTGTAGCTACAGTTCCAGGGGATCCAACATACTCACACAGACATGAATCCAGACAAAACACATATGAAATAAAATTGAAAACAACAAAAACAAGAAAAAAAATCCCTTTTGACAAAAGGTAAGTATTAGATTACTTTTACACTTATGGGATTTGGTTCCTTTTTTTTTTTTTTTTTTTTTTTTTTTTTGGTTTTTTGAGATAGTGTTTCTCTGTATAGTCCTGGCTGTCCTGGAACTCACTCTGTAGATCAGGCTGGCCTTGAACTCAGAAATCCACCTGCCTCTGCCTCCCAAGTGCTGGGATTAAAGGCATGCGCCACCACTGCCCGGCTGATTTGGTTCCTTCTTTCCACCATGTGTTTCATGTATTGAACTTTTTTTTTTGTTTGTTTGTTTTTGTTTTTTGTTTTTTTTTGGGACAAGCAGGGTTTCTCTGTGTGTAGCCCTGGCTGTCCTGGAACTCACTCTGTAGACCAGGCTAGCCTCGAACTCTCGAACTCAGGGATCCTCCTGCCTCTGCCTCCCAAGTGCTGGGATTAAAGGTGTGTGCCACCACCGCCTGGCATATTGTTAGATTTTTAAAAGTGTTTAAATTAATAAGAATTAAAGTAGCCTACTGATACATGCTTCCAGACCAATTCATTATATGTTTTGTAAAGTTGCAGGAATGGCGATTACACTAAATTGCAAGTTAAATGGACTGAATCCTTTTCCTGTTTTAACTAAAAACATTTTGAATACTCAACAAGGTAAGTTTGATCTCATTGTTCTTGGAGATATGTTTTATGATGAAGACCTTGCAGACAGTCTTCATCTGTGGCTGCAGAACTACTTTTGGACCCATGGGACCCGAATACTGATTGGTGACCCTGGGAGGCCCCAGTTCAGTGGACATAGCATTCAGCATCAACTGTACCAACTAGTAGAATACATACTTCCAGAGCCAACCCAGCAAGATAACAATGGACTGACCACAAGTGCGGTATGGGATTTTCATCCCTGATTTGTCAAAGTGCTTTTAAGTATGAATATAGTTCTGTTTGTGTTAAGTTCTAAAAATTTCCTCTGTAGGAGGTACTCAACAGTTTAAAGAATGCAATTCAGTGGGGTGTGGTGGCTTGGGCCTTCAATACTACCACTTGGGAGGCTGAGGTAGGCTCATCTCTGTGACTTTGAGGCCAGTTTGGTCTATAGTGAGTTCAAGGACAGCCAGACCCTGTTTCAAAAATAGATAGATAGGTAGATAGATAGATAGATAGATAGATAGATAGATAATAAAGTAAATTTCTTTTCCTTTGCTATGATACTTTGGATAACTCTGTATAGTTTACTAAAGTTAGTTATGGTTATGTTCCCATTTCACATACCAGGGTGTCAGGATTTTATAATGAAACACTGTATCATGTACAATCTGTTATGTAGAAGATATATCTATGTTTAGATGTAGTATACATAATTTGCTTCAGTATTAATAAAATATCTCTGGAAAGATAAGTAACTGAAGTGTTATCTTTCTGATACTATAACAAAATAACTGAGGAAATCAGCTTAAAAGAGAAGTGATTTGTTTGGGCTCAGTTTCAGAGGCTCCAACCCATGGTCTGCTGTTTCCCTTGCTTTGTGTTGAGGTGAGGTGGGATATGCAGCAGAAGTGGCTTCTCACATTATGGTAACTAGGAAGCAGAGAGCAAGGGACCATGGATAAGGGTGGGTTCACTGGTCCCAAGGATCAAGACCAGAGAAATTGCCATGGGGAGGGAGACAGGGGATGCAGAAGAAAATAGGTGTGCAAGCAGGGAGGCAGAAAATGCAGAGGTAGGGAGGGAGGGATAGAGAAGGAATCCAAAATGTCTGGATTACATACGGAAGATCTTCTACGGATAGGGAAGCCCAGCACGTCAGCTGGAAAGTTCATTGCAGAGGGTTGGGTATACCAACCCTGTAAGAGGGACTGAGGGATGGTGGGAGAACCTGGAGGTCAGGTCCACTTTGTTATGTAAAATATGTGTCTCAGGCATTTGTCCCAGGTCTGAATCCCAACACTGACAATCTACTTATGAACGTCCTTTCAACACAAGTCTTGGGAGTGAGGAAGTATTACAGATTAAAGCTATAACTGGTTATGTAGAGGAATTTTAGTTCATCAACATGGCTGTTCTGGTAAGGAATCATATCCAAAGGCCTTCTAGGTTTATGTGATCCAGCTGGAATACAGATACTCCCTGGATCACAGTATGATCTGGCTGGAATGCAGTCATGCCTTTAGTACATACCTTTAGTCCCAAACAATGAAAAGTAAGGTTAGTTTATAGATGGAAGCAGCCATGTTTGAAAGAGATATCTAGTTGAGGGGTAGAAAAGTGACTAGTCAGAGAAAGATTTGACAGAATGAGTCAGAGTAAGATATGCCCAACTCTCAAGACAGCAGCAGAGAGGGAGAGAGGGAGCAGTTTTACAGAGACATATTGCAGGAAGAGAGAACAAGCCAGAGGATAAGGAGCCAGAAGATTAGAACAAAATCCAGTAGTTTAAGGCTAATCAGAGCAGTTCAGTGAGAAGCTAAAATGAGCCATATTGAATAAGTCAGATTGGAGAGGAGTTTGAGTCAGAACAGCTGAGTTGAACCAGCCAGAGTTCAGAAAAAACTAGAAAGGGTGAGTTTATTCAGCAGTAAGCCTCTGAGATAATTTTATCAGGCGAATAAAAGATACTTGTATGGGCTTAAAAAAACAAAATAACAACAAAAAAAAAACAACAAAGTTCTCTCTATTCCTTCTGAGAGAACCAAATGGTTTATTCACTGGGTTAAGAATTTTTTTTACTTTTGAAATTTTGGATTTGTACTTACATATGCTATACTTACTATTATCTAATTTAAAAGTTGAACACTGCCACTTTGCATGCAACAAATACCAATTTCAGTCATTCCAAGGTACCCTCATAGTCTTATACATTGCTTTGGAACTGTCTTTTTGGTTTTTCGAGACAGGGTTTCTCTGTCTAGCCCTGGCTGTCCTGGAACTCACTCTGAAGACCAGGCTGGCCTCGAACTCAGAAATCCACTTGCCTCTGCCTCCCAAGTGCTGGGATTAAATAAAGGCGTGCGCCACCACCGCCCAGCGCTTTGGAACTGTCTTGGATGCTTGAATTACATACTTTCTAACAGTAGACACCAGGATACTAGGATGATTAAGATTAGATTTAAAAAGCAGAGAGATAGCAAAATCAAAAACTACAATAATTATATAGGTATTTGGGGGCTAGGGATGCAGAAAATTGTCTTAGAAGGTTTTTGTTGTTTTGTGTCCAACTATGTGTCTGAGGATGGCTTTGAACTCATCATCCAGTCTTTATCTAAAGTGCTAGATCCTGATTTATGCAATACTAGGGATTGAACCCAGATCTTTGTACAAACTAGGCAAATATCAACCTAGCGAAATGCACTGTGATATTTGAAGTTCTGTACTTGTGATTCTGGACCTTTGGACCCCAAAGACACTCCTGAGACCAGCTTGCTGCAATAACATAAGTCAGGTTCTTTTTAATATATGAAGCTTCGGGTCGAAACGTGTCTCACATAGGAGACAGAAGAATCAACCCTGAGATCTAACAGCTTAGGGTTTTTAAAGGTAAAGGCGGGGGTGGGGGGGGGTGTGTTTGGGGTTGTGGCACAGTCATACACAATTGGCTGTTTCAAACATCTGTAATGTGTGTAAACGAATCTCAAGATAACTGTCCCTGGTTTCTGTGGCCTTGGGACCCAGTGTGAATTTTATCTGAGCCAGCTCACCACCTGGCAGAATTTAATTAGCAAGTCCTTGGGCCCTTCAGTGGGAGTTTTTCCAGAGAAGGCTAAGACATCACATGAACAGATGGGTGTTTCAATAATGTTCTCATTCTTAAGGAATTTACTTAAGGCACTTTCCCTATCTTCTACAGCTGGTGAATCTTTGGAGCACTCAATTGACCTTTGTTTCCCTGCATCTCTGTGAAGGCCTTGGGTTAGCAAGTTAGCTGACTTATTTTTAACTATTTGTATTAGTGAATTGAGGCTTTCTGTTATACTATTTAACTAACAAAAAATATCTTTTCACAGGCACTCCCTGGAAACTTGCAGGCCACTCAGGTCAGGGATGCTGGTAGGCTAATGGAGGAATTCACAGCTCTCTGAGCTGCTCCAACACCAGTTCCCTAGTCTTATATCCAGCTTGGTAACTGACTGCTTGGAGCAGCTCCACTCCCTTCTCCAGTGGATCACATAAATCTCCAAACTCCCATTCATTGCTTTATTCCAGCCCCAACATCAATGGGCATTCCCTGGGAATAGCCCAGGTGTTTGGTTTTGCACCAATCCCCCAACAATGGTCTGAGTGCATACTTTACATACCAAAGCGGGCCTGGCCTCCATGTTCTCCCAGCACTTCTCAGTCCCTACTTGGCATACCCTGCGTCCAACCCTGAATTTTCCAGACCAGGAGCTGGGATGCCCTTGCCCCAGAGGCTCTTCCCTATATAATCCAGACATTCTGGTCTCTCCTCTTCTCTCTCTGCATGTGCGCCCCTTTCTCTCTTTGTCCCCTAGCTCCCCTCTCCCATTTTTCCCATGGCAACTTCCCTGGCCTTGGTCCTTGGGGCCAATGAACTCCCCCCTACCTGAGAGCAGCTTCCCAATATACTGTCTTTAATATAATCTGGCCTAAATTGGCTCATATCATTGATGTTGAAATAACTTATCAGATGGTGCTGAAACCTATGAATAGAAAGCCTCCAAGAAACATAAAGGTCTAAGAATTGAAGGTCTAGGGATGGAGGGGCCTATTCATTCCTTTTGTCTCAGCTTAGTAACTAGGCCATTAGCCATCTGCTCTAGCAGCAGACCCCAAAAGTCCAGGAACAAGACAATAAAATCTCCCACCCAAGGAACAGCCTGAATGAAGATAGCCACATGAATGGGAGATATCTGATCTCAGGATAGGCCATCTGTGCTGGGCAGCCCATCCTGTGGTTAATCATTCATGACACAGGAATGCAGTCCCAGCACCTACCAATGAGGTTTTGGATTACCAAACCCTAACAGTATAATAATGAAATGTTTGGCTATCTTAAGTCACTTTGATTCTGTAGCTGACCTGCCTAAGTTACTCTGAGGCCAGAAGCTGTAGTCTTTGGCTTTAGCATTTCATAGTAAAACGAGGTGGGAGGCGGGGGGGGCATATTAAATAAAGTAGCCTTTGATTTATCTCTGCAGGAACTGCTTGGCTCTAACTCCCAGCCTGTTGAGGGTCATAGGAAGAAGGGGGCAGAGGAAGGAGCACTGTTAGGAATGAACGTGGGGGTCTATAGAGATGGCTCAGGGGTTAAGAGCACTAACTACTCTTCTAGAGGTCATGAATTCAATTCCCAGCAACCACATGGTGGCTCACAAGCACCTGTAATTGGATCCAATGCCATCTTCACATAAAATGAATAATCTTTAAAAAAAAGGGGGGGGGGCCCGGGCAGGGGGGGCACACGCCTTTATTTAATCCCAGCACTTGGGAGGCAGAGGCAGGTGGATTTCTGAGTTCGAGGCCAGCCTGGTCTACAGAGTGAGTTCCAGGATAGCCAGGGCTATACAGAGAAACCCTGTCTCGAAAAATCAAACAAACAAACAAAAAAAGGGAATGAACTTGGTGTTTACTCAACAATGTGAAATCAATAGAACTTCAGTAAACAATCTCCATAATGGTCTCACTGTGAACCTTTGGCTGGCCTAGATCATGCTATGTAGACCACGCTGTTCTCAAACTTAGAGATCTGCCTGCCTCTGCCTCCTGAGTGCTGGTATTAAAGATGTGCTACTGGGCTGGAGAGATGGCTCAGTGGTTAAGAGCACTGACTGCTCTTCCAGAGGTCCTGAGTTCAAATCCCAGCAACCACATGGTGGCTCACAACCATCCGTAATGAGATTGGATGCCCTCTTCTGGTGTGTCTGAAGACAGCTACAGTGTACTCATAAATGAAATAAATAAATCTTTAAAAATAAAATAAAGATGTGCTACCACCATGTCCAGCTCTATAATGGTATTTCATATTTAATTTTTACACACTCTGGTCCTGGAGATAGTCTAATAGTATAGCACCTACCTGGCATACACGTAACCCTAGGTACAATATCCAGTGAACACATACACATACACAAATTTATAATTTTGAACCCATTTTGCCAAGTGAAACATTCTTTCACATGTCTGCTTTAACATTCTTTCATGTGTCTGCTTTAGCAAAATATCATATGATACAACTTATGCTTCCAAAGAAACCAGAAATTTCCACTTCAACTTATTTTACCTTTATACTCCTGTCTCTGGTGTATTTGGTGTTGGTATAGGAGATTCTGTGCATATTTGGAAAGAGCAGCCATAGAACCCAGTGAAATTTCCTTGGGATACAGCTCAGTGGTAGCATGTCTGCCTAATATGTATGAGCCCCTGAGTTCAAACCATAGAACTGAGGAGT